GAGAGGCCCAGAACCACTCCGTCAGAGACCTTGGCACACGGGTGAAGCGGCGAGCCAGGTAGCAGAGTCTGGAAACAGATTGGACGAAGTCAAGAAACGGGCTGTTCCAAGTCGGGAAACAGGTTGGGTTGTGTCAAGAATCTTGGAGATGTGGTTTCATGAGACGGCGGTGAATGGAGTTAAGCGAATAAGGTTTAGTGAGTCAAGAAGCAGCGGTCAGTCGTGAAACGGCGTGCAAACAAAAGGCTAGTCAGGAGAATACGCATACTTCGGCAATATCTTGGAATCAAGCGAATAAGGCTTCGTGAGTCAGGAAACGGCGATGAGTCAGAAAACGACTACGTGGAAAGCACATGCTGGGCACAAGAGTGCGTGCACTTCGGAGTTATTGAATAAGGCTTTGTGAGTCAGGAAATAGCGGCGAGTCAGGAAACGGCGTGGCAACGACAGGATGCAGAAAACAACATGTCGGTGGATAACCTTTGGAGCCAATAAGGCGCTGTGAGTCAAGCAGCAGCTCCGTGAGTCAAAAAACAACTGCGAGTCAGGAAACAACATGGATGTGGCTCAGAATTGAAGAGGTAGGGCAAACTGCCGGTTTTTTCGTCTCTGGCTTCATTTACGATGCCATTTTGGTAGACATGCTTTTGGAGCCACAGCCACCTGGCTGTGGGTCCAAAATAGGGTAGCCCCAAAACGGCACCCTGGTAAACGGAAATGACTCCAACCTGTGGTCCTTTCGATTTTGCGGGTGGTTTCGTTTTGACCCATACTTCTGGGTTTCCGGGGCTCACCAGCGCCATTCCTTTGCCTCGGCCTCCGCCGAAGCGGCCGACGGTGGCCGAGGGCCCCGCGCTGCGCTCGAGTCCGAAGCCCAGCGCCGCCGCCAGCGCCGAAGCCTCGAAGGCGCGAAGCCGCGCGGAGCGGGCGGATGGGTGGGACGGGGACGAAGGGGACCTCTGCCGGGGTCAGGGCCGTGGGTTTGGATTGGCCACGGATCCGTGATACCAAAAAAAGGGGGAAGCCACGCATCTGTGATTCAAAAAGGGCTTCCCAACCACTATCCCCAATTTCAAGGGGGAGAGAAGCCAAAAGACCACAAAGACTATCAGACAAAGGGAATCTTTGAAGTTGAATCTGTGATACACAAAAAAGCGGAACCCGACCACATCCCGACCACTATCCCCAATTTCAAGGGGGAGACACAGAAAGGGGGAATCACAGAAGTGGTTGGATAATTCCATTGATCCCGCAACCCGGATCATTACTGCATCTCTTCTTTTTTGGGGTTAAAGTCAGAAACTGGGGGTGTTTCCCATTCACCTTGGTAGAATGATGGGGCTAGTACTAACCCGGGATTAGCTCACCAAAAGGGAAACCCGCCAATTTTGGGGGTCCAAATCCGAGGACGCCCAAATCGACCGAACGATGTGACTGTCAAGCTGTACCTGGGTTTGGTAGGAATGGCTATCAAACTTAGAGAATTCAAAAGCCGAAAGGCTTAATTATGGCACAATTGGCACGCCGAATTATCTATAAGCAGAACCCTTGGTTTGTCGAATGCCCAACTTTTAGTGGAATCAAGATCACTCTTGGGCGACATCCCCTGGCCTAGATCATCCCAGGTACTCTTTCCTTGTGACTCTGGGGTGTCCATCTGCACTTCCCCATCTGGCTTGCTTCGCTACGGCGCCCACGTGGCTCGAGCTCAGCTCCCGGCCACAAAGGCTCCCGCCAGGCCGCCCAAGAGTTGATGGCCTCGCAAAACTGCGGGTGTCGCAAAGGGGGGTTGCCCTAAAACCTCCGGATCGCCAGCTGCGGTTGCTTTTCGTTTTTCCCCCAGCAACTAGTTGCTATTTTGTTTCAGGGTGAATAGTCTGCAAAAAAAGGCAGCAACTTGGCCATATCGTTGGGTTTCCTGTTGACTTCCCTTCACACACCGCCCCGAATTGCGGGTGCCCTCAAGAAACAAGAAACTTGTTCCCGACTGAACCATCCTCTTCATGAATCAACATTAGAATCCCTATCGACCAACATTGTCAGTGATTCATATAAGTATGATCTCCGATTTAAGGGTGCTCCTTTTTCTGCAGTCTATTTTACGGGAACTATCCCCCCCAAAAAAGGGTAACAGGGCTCTACTGGGGGACCTAGTGGAACATCCCCCTCACCTGAAGCTCCACTTTGTCCAAAGCTTTCTGGTCACCTTGGCACCAGGGATCTCAAAGAGCAAGTGGCGGGAACAAAACTGGTTCTGGTTCTGGAACCATTCCCAAGGAAATAGGAAGGAGGGACACCGAAATCCGAAATGTCGTCCAAATTTCTGGTTTTGCGAGTCTTTGAATCCTTGGCCGAGGGTCTCTTTCCAGTTTGGATGTCAGGAGAGTGAGAGTCTATCTCTAAACAAAATGACTTCGAGGAATCTTTTGCAAAATCAAACCAAGTCCAAGTCACGCTCTTCCTGCCACGGTTGATCCAAGACTCTTCGGATGTTGCGATCGTGTGCGTACCGATGGCGAAGATTCTCTATCCCCTCTTTGGCACAGCGAATGCTGTGGAGATGAGACTCTTCCGAGCACTGGGCCTTGCGAAGTTGATCTTCTGCACGGTTGCACTATCATGCGATGTGTGCGAGAGCTGATATGTTCGATTCCATTTGTCGATGGAAATGTTGAGCACGGCGAAAGGCAACCCGACCAGCAAAACCAACACGGCAATGCAGACCTTCTTGTCGTCGTCACGCAAGACGCGGAAATTGAACAAGGCGTTCAAAGACAGCAAGAAGCACGGAATCGACACAAAGATGAAAAATAAAAGCCGCCATTCACATCGGATTCTCGCGTCAACATTCCTACAACGGTGTTTCCACGCTGCTTGTTGGAAATCCTTGAGGTCGGAGGCTGCTCGAGATTTCCAAACACCAGCTTGACGAAGACAATCCTGCTCTTCGCTCAACTGTTTCTTCAGCCTCAAAGCATCGAGTTTATCCTCGCATTTTTGCAACCATCGCGCATCTTCCTGCCAATCATACACCGACGCCATGCTTGGCCCTTAAGCCACAATGCTATAGACATGCAACGTGTGGATGCCACGATGTATCCTACTTTCATACCCTGCCTCAAAAGTTACCAGGACATCGCTCTGTGAGTGATGTCAAAATCTTTTGCGAAGTTAGGAAATGCCGAGTAACTGGGTTACAACCCCAAACTGCCACGTTATCTTTGAACTTACACATGGTTGCTGCACAGTATAGTCTTCTACCAACCAGCTGCGGTCTATTCTGCCGAGCTCAAACTCAAATCATCATGTGCACAGAGTGAACAATCCATACAGTCTGAGCGCATCTGAAAGTAGCCACAACAACATCTTTGTCAAGGTACCCTTCAAATCCTTCTACAATGTGGGCTAGAATCCCGAAACCGAGGGTCGCCCTCCAAAACCCGGAATCAATACTCGCTTCAGAATTATGACTGAAGGAGTCATTCTTCCTCAAATATGCATATATATATATACACGTAATAATATAAATATATTATATATATATATATGTCAATATATTAAAGAACTAAACATACAACTGCCCACAGGAGCACAGGACATACTCATCGACACCCAAACCGCTGCTTGGCAAGCACAAACTCCACCCTGAAGAAAAGAAACAACGCCAAACCCAACACATGCTCATATTTTCTGGGTTCCAAAACACTATGCAACCAAATATTCTGCCACCTTGCTAGCCGGAGATTGGACCCAATCATGTTAACCACAAACAAACAGTCAGCATGCAAACCAAAGAGCACAAAAGACTGGGGTTGTGGTTTTCTTGAAGGTGCGCCTTTTGCGGGGAAAGGAAATCCATAGGAAAACCACTCTTTTCGGCTGTCCGCTGATAGAAAGACACTGAAGGAGCAGATCAGATGTAAGAACTGGCCTGTTCCTTTGACGACTGAGGACCTAACTTGTCTAGGTCCTCCAGATTTGAGAGGTTAGAATAAGTTGGTACCCGATTTGTTTCGGTAGTCTATTTTAGTAGGGGAACCCTCCCCCAAGAACCCGTGAAAAAAAGAAGAAACGGTCAAAGTTGGCACCCAGGTTTTTTGGGGCCTTCTTTTGGGGACCCAACTCGGGCACCGAGCCGAGGGAGCGAGCTGGGGCTGACTCCCCGAGATCCCAAACCCTTGGGCCCATGGCGCAGCACCTCCATCTCCAGACCTGCGCT